GATGACTGTGCATGTAATAAATCAGTGATAGCTACAGCTGATGAATACTTAGCGTTGGTGATAATTCTCTTATGCTCTTGGGGGTTTCCAGGCAAGCAAGTTCGCGTTTAAGAAAACATAAGCATACACACATGCAAGCGCTTGTGTTAACTATGTAGATAGTGGAGGAATAGTGTGAAGAGAATGAAAATGATGATGATATCACATTTCTCTCTCTCTCTCTTTTCTTCTTTCTCTCTCTCTGTCCTGTCTGTCTCTCTCTTTTTCTTTTCTCTCTCTCTCTCTCTCCTCTCCTCTCTCTCTCTCTCTATCTCTCTCTATTCTCTTCTCTCTCTCTTCTCTCTCTCTCTCTCTCTCTCTCTCTCTCTCTCTCTCTCTCTCTCTCTCTCTCTCTCTCTCTCTCTCTCTCTCTCTCTTTCTCTGCAGATTTCCCATCTTTACCTATGAATCGACACACGTAAAGATGAAAAGAAAACAGAATACACAAATCCGCAATGTGAAACTGCAATTAACGAATGAGATACGAAGAATAAAGATTTAGCTATATGATTGAGTCGCCAATTAAACGTGTTGTAGTTTGGTATTATTAATTATTTTTGTTGCCTTTTCCACGCGTCACAGGGACTTTTGTTGGTTTACACGCCTCTTGACCGTCACTTGCGGAAACGGTGCAAAAATCGGTTTATTTTTCCTATTATTGTGATTATTGTTATGATTATTTATACTATTATTGTTGTTGTTTTTATCATTGTTATTAATATTATTATTATTATTTTCATTGTTATCGTTTTGTTGTCATTATCATCATTGTTATCATTATTATTATCATTCTTATTATTATTGTTGTCATTGTTCTTATTATCATTATTATTGTTGTTATTGTTGCTATCATTATCATTGTTATTATTATTATTGATATATTCTTTTTATTATTGTTTTTTTGTCATTATCATCATTGTTATAATTATTATTATTATTATTGTCATTATTATTATTGTTAGTATTAGTATTTTACTGTTATTGTTATTAATATTTTTACATTCTTGTTGTTATTATTGTTGTTGATACATATTTATGTATTTCATTATTGTTGTTGCTAGTTTTATGTACTTTATTATTATTATTGGTGTTGTTATTATTATCATTATTACGATGATAATGACAATATATAAATATTAGTTGTTCTTATTATCTGAAATTATTATGTTGTTATAGTTACTATTGTTGTTATTATCGCTACATTATAAATGGTAACATGTTATTATTATGATTAATATCATCATTAATGTTATTATTATCAATATTATTTGAATTGTCATATTATCGTCATTGCTGTTGATGTTATCACCATCATCATCTTTATCATCGCCATTCTTTTTATTATTTTTATTATTATTTTTATATTTTCTTAAGATGAACGCTAAGAATTCGCTGAATAGATAAGGAGTCCGATGGGTATCATTAAGAATGAAGACCGTTTTGAGCAGAAGCCGGCTGCCGGTCAACCCAGCAGAACAGGTGAACAAATTTCTTCTAAATCATGGACCGGTTCTTTTATACCCCCCACCCCCCATTCTACATTTCTTCAGGGGGGCGAGGGGTCCAGTTTTCAGTAGTAAAATTTCTTACAAGTAATCGTTTAAGACTTAATCGAGAGAAATTATAACTTTTTTTAATGGATCTTTGCGGATTGGGGGGGGGGGGGGATGAGATAAAGGGGGGAGGGGAGGGAGAGGAGGGTATTTACCGGAAAGGCTGGGGGGTGGGGGGGATAGAGGGGGGGTGGGGTAGATAGAGAGATGACGTGGCT